GAACATCATTAACATATTATCACCTTAAGATGAACTTGTTCGCAAAGCAGAGTGGTCATTCATCTGTCCAGTATTCTCTCTGTTAGCTTTGTTTTGGGGCTAGAACCTCTCCTGAGAGAAGATTTGACTCTTTAGCTGCTAAATGCTCGACTGTGTTCACCAGTTAGTCTCTAACTGTGTCTGTCTCCTGTTTGCTGCTGAGCAGATAGTGTACAATGGCCTTTTAGTTTTTCATTGTCAGATAGTGTTCAGCATTTAAATGGTAGGAGATACAGCTCTTTTTAAACAGAAGCTGTAATAATAAGCTGTAAAGCTTCACACGGAAATGTGGGAACAACAGTAGTGATGGCTGTGGATGAGGTCTATGTTGACACGTCTCTTACTATTATTGTTTTTTTATCTCCCTCTGGCTATGAGACATTCTCACCCTTAACCAGAAAAGCTATTTAAAACCAACAGGTTGCAAACCACAGGCTCACTTAAGTCTCCACCCATAGAACAAAACCACATGAAACTGCTGCTGATGGCTGATAAAAACAGGTTATCATGTTTAATCAGGTTTAATTGGCTGAATTAGATTAAAACGTGTGGCAGTATCTGCCTTGCCTTGTTTTATTGAGATTTTTGTTGGCAGAAAAAAAAAAAAACACCTTCAGAGTACTCTGGCAAAAAGATAAACCTGGCACAGCTTTTGCCAGACTGCAAAAGGAAGTCTTCGGGTAAGAAGCTGAGTGGCAAATGAAACACAAGCAAGCAGACGTTCCTTTGTAACTGGATCGCTGTATTTCTGCTGTTTATCTCACAGTCAGTGCAACCAAAGATTAAACTATTGATGCTGTGTTTTCCAGATCTTTTGTCAGATCCTGTGATCCTTTAACCTGATGGACTGTCAAACTGGGCTGGATCGTTGATGTCTCACCGTCATTTTAAACAGCACACCCCCACCATCACAGCCCCCCTGCATTGTTTTAACACTGTTATAGTCACTCCTTGTTCAATAATAATTAGTCATTCAACAAAACAGAATTAGAAAAGCATCACGGTCAGACTGAACATCCTCAGTCAGGTTATGATCTCAGGCTTTAGTGTCATTCTATTTTAGGTCACTTACAAAAAGCTCCACCCCTCATATTTTTCTACCACACATCATTGCAGACATCAGTAAACCACAGGAAACTGTGCTTAGTTGGTGATTTAAATTGAAAATGAATGTATCTAGATATTCAGCACATTAAAGTTAATTTGCTATTTGTAAAATTCTATGTGATTGTTGCATCTTTCAAGTTATTTTGATGATAACTGTAGTCTTGGTAAAAGGCATGTAGTGTTGTCTCCCACAGTGTGTAACGGTGGGATCTCAAATGGGGGTCCGTCGTCTAATGTGAGTCAGTTTTGGGGGTCCTTGACATGAAAAAGTTTGAGAACCAGTGCTTCACAAAACTCAAGGAGATCATTCCATCTCACAATTTCTAGCAGCAGCAACATTTAAAGTGAGAAAGTTCACAACAATAAACAATCAACATGACTGAAATGCTCAACTTCAGAACACGGTAATTTCACCACTGTATTTCTAAATATATTGACATTATTACATTATAACTGACATTATTAACTGCACTTTCACACAGTGAGCTTGAGGATGGCAGCGCTAGGGAGTTAGAGAAAGGGACAAAGAGCAATACCAATACAAAGGGCGAATCAGAGACTGAGGAGCAAACTGGGACACAATGTCAGTCTTAATTTTACCACTAGATGACACTAAAGTAAAAAAAATAAAATAAAATCCTGCATACAGTGAAATTAATAAGATTAAATGAGGAGGCTGTTACACTGGTGTTGTAAATAATAAGCAACATTTTAATGATTGTTTTCTTGTACATAAAACTATGAAATATATAATATAATAACTCAAACTACCAGTTTTAAAACAGTTTCTTTAAATTAAGTCGCTTTTATCCAAAGCTTTTTATGTCAGAGGTTGCACGCCTCTGGAGCAACTAGATGTCTTGCTCAGGGACACAATGGCAGATGGGTCACAGTGGGGGATTGAACCCAGGTCTCTCATATGTAAATTTCATATGTAAATATCATAGTATTGTAGGGAAAGGATTTTCTTTTATTTCTGGGACTCTCATTCAGACCAGGTCAACAATATACAGTATCTGTGATAAGTTAAATCAGGTAATGAGATAATAATCAGCTGTAATATAAAGCTGAGCTTCAGAAGCAAGACAAGAAAGACTCCTCTAGTAATTACAGATCGGTGCAAAAGTCCTGTTCACACCTTGGTGACTCAAACAATGTGGATGATGAAGTGAATCGTGTGTCTCTGGATTGATAGGATTTAAGTTGACAGCGTCCAACATCTGAATATCTTGGTGAAGTTCCTGAAGTCTGAGCTGGATTCATTGTAAACAACCACATCAGCAATGAATGACCTGAAATTTTGACCATACATGTAGTAAAAGTCATAAATTGACAGGGCTGATCTTTGCTCAGTGCTGCTGTGGCATGTTGACTGTTGTGTAGAGAGGATCCTCTGAAGAGCTGGACGGCAGGTCGACAGTACAGTAGGCTGGATTTTGCTTCAAAATAGAATATTTGCAGGCAACAGAGCTGGGTTTGAGGGTCACTGCCTCACCACCAACTCTGTCAGAGCTGCTTTGGAAGTTGATGGTAGAGTAATGCAGCGAGGCAGACGGGTTTGTGGGAAAGTTGGCAGTGGCATAAATCGTGTCTATCTTATTTCCTGAGTCTGGTGTCTGGATGTGCTGCTGTATCTCCTCATAGACATGATCCTACCAGGATAGAAAAAATAAAATAAATACAGTCTGACAAAATCATATTAAATCCATAAAATAAGAACTCTCCATTCAAAATGTGCTCAACATTGTCAGTTAAACAGGTCTGAGTAACGGATTTTAAATAAAATTAAAATTTAAAGGTTCAGTGTTTAAGCTTTAGTGGCATCTAGTGGTGAGAGTTGCAAATTAGATTGCTCTTTTGATTCTACCATCTCACACAGCTGATTCTCAGTTAACAGGGCCCAGTAGAATTACAAGGGTTAGAGTCCCCGGTTTCTCCGCTGTTAACTTGTTGACTGGGCCCGCTGTCAATTGCTTTTACCAGAGTTTGTAGCGTGGAAATCTGGGTTTACAGTGATGACTGTATCTAAAGAAGGGTTAGAGTCCCCTTAGGGCCTGTGTCCACCCAAACTGTATTTTGCCAGCTGAAAACGCCACTTGCTGTTCTGAAAACGCCTAGCTGGGAGCGCTAGGGTGCGTTTTGGAGGCGCATTGTTTTTTTTCAAGACATTGTGGTTGCCATTATACATAGTTTCCGTGGAATGTTTTGCAAGTAGGGTAGCCTACTTAAGTTTAGTGAAAGTAAAAATTTCACCACAAAGTACATAGGCCTACTTGCTCTGGCCCTTGCACTGCATGAAGAGAAGACTGAAACATGAGAGCACAGACTGTCTGTACGTGGGATCATGAGATTTTGTGGGCGAGGAAACACCACGGCGAGTAGGCAAATCACTTCGTTCAAGATATGATGTGCTCGGTGCGGTGTTTGTCCCGCCCCTCCTGCACTGTGATTGGACGGCTGGGTAAAAAGTGACAGTGGAGAGCGCAGCGTTTTTCCCAAAGTTGAACATTTTTCATCACTTGGCGACCGGAAAAAACGCTCAGCGCCCAGCGCGGAAAAGACGCTCAGCACCTCGTCACGCTCCTGCCGTTTGTACCAGCTTGGAAAAATGCGGTGCTTCCATTGCAATGAATTGAAAAAAGATGCTGGCATCAGAAAAAAACGCTTTGGTGGACACGGGCCCTTAGGGTTGCGAATCCCTAAGTGTTAAATGGTCTGAGTCCCTAAGTAACTTGTTGACAGGGTCCCGCTGTCAACCGCTTTTACCAGAGTTTGTGGCCTGGGCAATCCGGATTTACAGTGACAACTGTATCTAAAGAAGGGTTAGAGTCCCCTTAAGGTTAGAGTCCCTAAGTAACTAAAGGGGGGATAGAGTGGGAGATGGGGAATCAAAGGAGTAAAATAAGCAAAGGTGGGAGACCTGCCTGTTTTAACTTTTAAAACTTTTTATATTTCCCTGTTCCTTTTATGTTTTATGTAAAGCACTTTGAATTACCTTGTTGTTGAAATATGCCATACACATAAACTTGCCTTGCCTTGATATATTAAGAAATTATACACTCACCTAAAGGATTATTAGCAACACCTGTTCAATTTCTCATTAATGCAATTATGTAATCAACCAATCACATGGCAGTTGCTTCAATGCATTTAGGGGTGTGGTCCTGGTCAAGACAATCTCCTGAACTCCAAACTGAATGTCAGAATGTGAAAGAAAGGTGATTTAAGCAATTTTGAGCGTGGCATGGTTGTTGGTGCCAGACGGGCCGGTGGGGGGGGGCCGTGGTTATGTAGACAGAAATGGCTCATTCTAAGGTAATAAAAACATAATGGTTCATTATGTAAGTTCTTTACACACCACTGAAAACATAGTTATGGATATTATATTGCATTTCTGTCAATAGATCCTCAGAAATGTTACACACTGAACCTTTAAAAGAACAATAGCTATTAACAATATTGTATTAATAATTTAAGTTTTAAAACATTCCCATATACATTATATCATACAGTAACATATTTCCTGTATCTGACCACTGTAGGTAAAATATTCATAACAAACACAACAGGTTCGCCACATATAGAAAAAAGAGATTCTGTCACTGAAAGAGTGAAGAGCATCCTTGATGGCCAGTGTTAATTTATATATTTTGAATGAAACGAGAGTCCCAGAAGTTCTTTCTTATACTTTTAACACAAATATTTAAATATCTGGCATCATTCAGAGATGAGTAATCCAACTATTGCGCAATTTTTTCAGCAATATCAATTCAACCTCCGGTTCCCAGCCTAACCCTTATGTACTGAGCTACTGCCGCCCCAAGTGACCGTCCTTGTCATGTGTTCGTGTTGTACGGCCACTAGAGGTCGCTGCCACAATGAACGTAAACATGAGTTGTACTTTTGTGTGGATTAAACAACCTATATGGTCGTTTTTCTATGGAGGACAGTCTCATTTATACACTGACTTGTTTGTGCTGTGCTGCTGCTCCATTTCTTGTGTTCTTTAAATGTGAAAATCCTGGCAAAAGAAAATGTAAGAGAACAATAACTAAGTAAACAAGCAGAAGGACACATATGGATTAATTTCACGCTTTTCATCAAATTGAGACACAGTCTCTTTAAGCCTTAAACTTTAAGCCGTAAAGCATGTAGTAATTTTATCTTAAAAGTTTCAAAAGTTTCAAAATCCATATCATGGTACACTGACTTGTAATAGGAAGAATGGGATCTCAGTCATTACTGTGGCCCAGAGACTGTGTTATTAGCTTTGTTTCCAGCTACATTTTTTAAATATGCATTAAGAAGTATCGCATTAGTTTGATGGAAATACAAAATATGCAAAATTTGAAAAAACGTCCTTAATTTCGCTGAAAGGTTTAACACTCGCTTGAGGTGCTTTTTAGTCTTTGTCAAGAAATAGTTAATGTGCCAAATGGGAGATGGAAACACTTTTGCTGAATAAGTTCTGACTTAACACCCATCAGCATCAGTTTGTAACGCAATGGGGATCCCTATAGCATCATAGTTCAACGCTTCGGTGGAAGCACTGTTGCGTTAGTTTTGGACGGTAAAGGCAGGTATTTAATAGAAAAGACTGAGTAAGGAGGTTGGGGTGGATGGAGGACCAGCACCCGGACTTTGTACCAGGAGACTGGGGTCCGTGTCCAGTGTGAAACAAAAAGTCAACATTAAATATTTTTATTTAAGTTACGCAAGTTACATAAATTGCGTAAGTTACGTGATGTAAGTTTCGTGACGTAAGTGAACCTGCGCATTAAGTGACGTACATAGTTATTTTAACCCAAACCATGATCTTTAGTAGTTTTGTGCCTAAACCTAACCAAATTGCAACGAAACGCTAGTGTTTTATTTTGAAAGTCTATCTGGATGTTGCATATTTATTGTTGCTTATCGTTGCTAACTTGACCGCCGAGCCTTACATGTCTAAAAATGATGCTAAAGGGTTACCCAGGGCATTAAAAAGTGACGCCAAAGGGCCTTGACCAAGCGTCAATATGTGATGAGTGGGGAGTGAGAATGTGTTGGGTGTGAGTAATTTCAGGTGCAGGGTTAAAATGCACCAGACTGTTCCCTCTTATAAGTTTGGCAAATAAGTGAAGTTATTACTTTCTTTGTATAAAAACATTGTGTTCATCAACTTCAAGACATGAAAAAGAAGTGATGCACAGTCTCTACAAACGGTATCCAGTGTCTTCTTTGGCCTTTTTAATCCTCATTTACACACAGGGTGGAGCTGTTGTGAAGGAGTGTGTGTTTCTTCTGGAAAATGGTAATAACTCTTACGTTTGTAGATCAAAATCAGCACAAACAGCAGCAGCACAGCTACACAGACGATCACAGTAATGACGACCTGACGGTCACCTGCAATATAAACCAGATTCATTATCATCCACAGCTGTCTGTGTTGAGTATTTAAGTGGGCGATTAATTTGAAATATTTCCCCTCCTCTTGCTCTTCTCCAGCAGATGGTGTAACATATCTAACGTGCTCTCTTACCACGATTCTCTGCAGACTCAGTAGTTGACTGGGTTGAAGAAACCAGAGATGTGGATAATGTCGGTGACATTGCTGTTGATACTGCTGGTGATACTGAAAAAAAAGACAATTTAATTTGGCAAGAGAATAACCCTCAGAGGTCCGATTCCACAGAACTCTCTTTTCTCTTGGGTTTGTTAATACATTCACCGAGAGCACAAATGCATTTTTTTGATTGGTCTCCCGTGTTTCTGAAACACAAAAATAGGAAACTAAATAATGAATAAATGATAATGAATGAGACTGAATCCATTCAGCTGCTGTTGTGACAGGTCAATATATCTGCTGTGAACAAAAGGTCTATTGTGTAAGAGCCTTTTAAAGGAATAGTCTCAGTGTGAGAAATGCTCTCATTTGCTTTCTGACAGAGAGTTCTCTTCACAGCCAGTATGGATCATATTTACAGTGAACAGTAACACTTTCATTGTACATTCAAGACAAAATTTCAGCTTATCCTTAAAGATTGTAAAACATGCATAAACACTAAATCTGTGTTGATGAAACTGAACACTTGATAAGGGTTTTGGTTGTTGCTGATAAAGTTCTGCTGTCAAATCACTGCAGGATGCTGCTCTGAGACGTGCAGGAAATGAAAATGAGCACAAACAGCAACAACATCAGGTGATCTTAGTCAGCGTCAGGATATCACAGCTGACTGCCATTTGAAAAAAAAAAGTTAAATGCTTTTACAAAGAAGTAATAAACAACAGTTTCCTTCTTCACATACAGTATGAGGGATCTGATTGTGATTTTGGCTTCCAATAATTATGAAAACAAGATCATCGAGATCAAACAATTTTTGTGATGCATTCTGTTTCGGAATGATGCTCTTGCTTTGGCTTGTGTTTATAATCCAGTGTGTTATGTGGCATATTTGTTCAGGTCGGGCCAAGATGAAGGGTGGAGCGCTTTTTGATCAAGAACAAGAAAGGAAAAACCAGTTCAGCTGTTTTACGGTTGTTACACACAAAACTGGTACAGACAGTTAGAAAAGAGCCATCAGCATATGACAGTAAACAACTGTGTGGTAACATGACCAGATCAGACAGATCTGGTCACCAAGCAGGTTTAATACTGAATGGGTTAGAGAAAATCCATGGTATGATTTTCTTTTCTCCAAAAGGTCAATATTTCCAAAGTCAATAAATAATTGTTTTAATTAATCATGATCTCAAAATTATTGGTCAATAAGTGATTACGATTTTTGCGATAATCGAGCAGGTCTAATAGGATGCTCTCACCAGGATTGCTAAGTAAAACAAAAATAAAAATATTATCTCAGTTGTGTCTTTTTAACTGAAACCAAAAAGTTATTTTTAATGTTTCGGCTGACAGTGACTGAAATTGTATATGACATGCAATAACATTAAAGGCAATCAACTCAAAATATGTCTTATCTGTTTGATGGCAGGAAAAGCACAGGTGTTAATAATAACATTAACAATGGCTCTGTTATATTCAAGTCTAACAGTAAGTCATGACAGTGAGTCAGCATGAACAATATCAGGACCCTGAAACTGCAGCAGCTAAATGGAATTCAGCCCTCATGTATTTTATTGTTTACACCTGTGTTTCTCCTTCTGTGATGTAAAAATGTCTTTTGTGAAAAGGTCAATTGTTGCCAAGTGTTTTGCACTTTACCACAGAGAAAATAACTAATATCTTTCACTACTTCTTTTGCTTTACCCGTCGCCATGGTGAATCATTGGATTGCAGATCAATTGATGATGGCTTTAGTTATTCATCATGCATGTAATATGAGGTTAACATACTCAGAGCTGATACAACTGATGGTCAGTTAGGGTTAAACCAGCTTTCTGGAACAGGACCCTGAAACTCTACAGACCAATATTTATTAAAATAAACTTTATAAGATGAAATAAGAGTCCAGCAGTAATCAATAATTACTATAGCTTTCTTTTCATGCTTGTCATCCAACTATTACCCTCCTACAATCTGAACCAGGATCAGATTACATCCACACAATAAAACAACATCACTCACCGACAGTCATCACCAGCTTTTGGAAGAATTTTTTGCTGCGTGTTTTGTCAGTGCTTTTTGCTCCACACCAGTATGTCCCAGTGTCGTCTGTTGTTACGTTTCTCACTGTTATGATGATATTTCTCTTATCTTGTTCCTCCTTCATAGAAAACCTCCCAATGGTCTTGTTGCGCTGTGTGCTTAATAAAGGCTCACATATAGATAGATCTTCTCCCTTACAGATGAATTTGTTTATCAGAGTATAATTTGGATATTCACACCAGTATGTAAGATTCTGTCCAACAGCTGGAAACGTGGTGAAGCTAGTAATAGAAGCTGTAGAGACACAGACAGACATCGTTGTGTATCAGTGACTGTATTTAACAACATATTTCAGAGACACTTTAATTATCTGTGTGAGAAAATCAAAGCTAAAAGTGTCAGATGTGTGCTGCTCACCTTCAACCTTCAGCTGTATCTTTCTGAGAGCAGCTCTGTAACTTCCTTCATGTGTTTCCACTCCACACCGGTAGACACCAGCATCATGTGAGGACACCTTACTGATGGACACGCTGAAGCTACTGTTGGTTTCTGTGAGAGTGAATGTCCCGTTTGACTTCAGAGAGGATTTTGTTGATAAAATATCCTCACAGATTGAACCGTTCTGTTTGCAGAAGAACTTGTATTTGTTTCCTGTGTAATCACATGTGATGGTGGTTTTAGCTGTTCTGTACGCAGTTTGATTAAATTGTCCCTGGCAGCCGTCTGTCTCTGCAAATAAACAAGAAATATCAAATGTGAAACTGTGATAATGTGCTAACACATGATGGAAATGCAAATCACCACACTCATACAGTAAAGTGTGAATCATGTTAAATCTGCTTTTATTGCAAATTGATCTCCATTTTGTTTATCTGAGTAGATGATGACTTGAAATAGAAATTGACTCTAGTGAATGTGAAATTAGAGTCAAAATAGTCTGGAAATTTATAACCAACATCTGTAACATTCATTTTAATAAAAAGTGAGTGCCTCTTACCAACGTCCAAGTCCAGTTCCACTGTGTCACATGAGTCAGGTAGTTGGTTAAATTTACAGATGTACTTCCCAAAGTTCTCACGTTCAGTTTTATTAATGGCCACCCTGAGATGTTTTTTTTTTGGATCATGGTACAGGAAAACTCTGCCGTTGTTTTCCCACACATTCTTTAGAGCACTTCGTATGGTTTCTTTGGGATTAACTAAATCAATACTTTCATATGTTACATTTGGTTTTGGATATTTGCAGGTGAATTTAATCCATCCTAATGGGCATCCCTTCACTTTAGACAAGACCTCATGACCTGAAAGACAAAAGTTCACAACATGACACTTGACAGACTGTCATCTGAATTAGCTCTCTATCAATGCAACATCGCAACTTTACTTTGAGCTCAATATTTACCACTTGGAAGCAGTATACAAACATTTAATACATTCTTTTAACACACTATAATGTAGTTATAGGCTGCTATGAGGACAGTATCTGTCAGCAATTATAATATCTTATTTAAAGATATATTTTATATAATTGCTACTGTGTTTTAATATACAGTCACTCATCATCGGTTTAGCAGCTTCTACTTTTGATTGCCCACAGGAGGGGCTATACAAACACATTAATTAAAAGTTTTTAGCTGGAAGTGGTTTTTAAATTTAAATCTAAAAGAACACTTGAACAGCCTAAAATATCATGTTTGAAAAGTAGATTCTAATGAATTAATTTGAGCTAAAGAACAGCTAAACCCAGGAGTGGTCGTTGGTTGTCTGGCTCAGAGTAAAAAACAATTGTCCAGCCCAGAACCTCATATAGTTTCAGCTGAATTTCTAAATGTATTCTCACATCCTTTAGGAAATGATCTCTTTGCAGCTAGTATTAGTCACAATAACAGTGAACAGTAAGACTTTCAATGCACATACAGGAATCTGAGTATTGATTTGTAAGAATTGATCAAATGTGCATCTATCCTTAAAAAGTGAAGTATCTACATCTGTGTAAATAAAATTGATCACTTGTTAAGGGTTTTGGTTGTTGCTGATAGAGTTCTGTTGTCACATCACTGCAGTGCGCTGCTCTGAAAATGGAAGTGCAGGAAATGAAAACAAGAGCACAAATAGCAACAAGATATCTTTCTGCAGACTGAGTCAGCCAGTGACAGGATATCCCAGTTGACTGCCTTTGTAACAGCATTTCAAAATCTACTACATACTTAAATATGGATGAAATAGGATGCTGTTTAATCAAGATCAATACATGAAACAGATAAAACTATCTCAGTTTTTGAGGGGCCTTTTCAACTGCAACCCTAAAGTCATTATTATTGTTTCAGCTTACAGTGACTGAAATATGTCTTATCTGTTTGATGGCAGGAAAAGCACAAGTGTTCATAATAACATTAACAATGGCTCTGTTATATTCAAGTCTAACAGTAAGTCATGACAGTGAGTCAGCATGAACAATATCAGGACCCTGAAACTGCAGCAGCTAAATGGAATTCAGCCCTCATGTATTTTATTGTTTACACCTGTGTTTCTCCTTCTGTGATGTAAAAATGTCTTTTGTGAAAAGGTCAATTGCTGTCAAGTGTTTTGCACTTTACCACAGAGAAAATAACTGATTCTCTCACTACTTCTTTTGCTTTACCTGTCGCCATGGTGAATCATTGGATTGCAGATCAATTGATGATGGCTTTAGTTATTCATCATGCATGTAATATGAGGTTAACATACTCAGAGCTGATACAACTGATGGTCAGTTAGGGTTAAACCAGCTTTCTGGAACAGGACCCTGAAACTCTACAGACCAATATTTATTAAAATAACTTTATAAGATGAAATAAGAGTCCAGCAGTAATCAATAATTACTATAGCTTTCTTTTCATGCTTGTCATCCAACTATTACCCTCCTACAATCTGAATCAGGATCAGATTACATCCACACAATAAAACGACATCACTCACCTACAGTCATCACCAGCTTTTGGATGAATTTGTTGCTGCGTGTTTTGTCAGTGGTTTCTGCTCCACACCAGTATGT